TGCTCATATTCAAGTAAACTCTTATTGACTTGACAGAAATGTCCTGAGAATGACATAAGAACTTGCTGTCTTTCGGAAATAAAACAGACTGAAGAGAAATACACCGAAACACTGGAATCAATCGAAAAGGTAAAATGGTGTGATAAAACAACCAGGAAGTCATTTCTCACTTATTGCCAGGGGAGCTAGGAGAGTAGAAAAGTTTCAGGCAAGGATGTATACATAGTAGAGGTGTGCACAAAATAGAAAGCATGTTTGGTTTTGACCTTGAAATAAAACAGCTTCATTTGAAATGTTTCTTCAAAGTGTTCTGAGTTTGCTTTGTTCTACAAGACAGCACTGTTTATCAGAGGGAATTTGAGACCAGTTACCATTCCCTCCCTTTTTTTTCACCACTGGGGCCACAAAGATAAGCAGCGCATAAAATTTGGTAAATTTATTTATATTCAATACCTGCCATAATCCAAGATCCTCAGTGCTTATAAATAACTCAAGGTGGTGAAAATATACAGTACTCCTTCCTCCTCCTATATTCCCCACAACAACAATCCTGTGAGGTGGATTGGACTGAGAGAGAGTGACTGTCCCAAGTTACCCAGTCAGCTTGCATGCCCAAGGCAGAACTAGAACTCACAGTCTCCTTGTGTCAACTGTCCAACTAATGAACCCAAAATAAGGAAACACTCTCAGGAGCTTTTAATTCCCAAAAGTAAAACTTTATTGGATACACCATTCTGGTACTGAAGAATCAAAACCAGCTCTGGTTTTCCCACACAAATGCTTGCTTAGTTAAACAATAGCTTCTCTTTCTCCTCACCCTGGGGATCACATTGTCCAATTATGAAACATCCTTTTGTTATGGGAACATTCCATCTCTTTCCCAAGCACCTGCAGTGATGACCTTGATGGTTGCCAGGCTCTCACGGTCTACGCACACATTCTCAGCATTCTATTTCCCTCTTCCTTCCCCCCAGTTCATTGGCAAGTTGAAAAGCGTTAAGGTTTGACAGAAGCAAATCAGTTTAATCTTGACACCTTGTTTCTAACATGGCACCTTAACATAGATCAAATTGGCTATATACCATATGTATGGGTGTATGTTATTTATTTATTAACTTAAAAATAAAGAGTTGTGGGAAACAATGGGAATATGCTCTATTGTCTTTCATTGAAATACCTATAATTTGTCAAAAAGCAAAAACAAAAAAACAACCCATCCACTTCTCAACAGAGAGTATAGATAGTTTTTTTCTATTTAAGTAAAACTCTGGATTACTTAACTACTATTACAGAACATAAAAATCTGATAATCTCTGCAGTATTTCTATCAGTGAGTACATCATATCTGTTAATTTTTAAAAAACATTTTTTAAAACAATCTTTCAGCCAATTTTTCTCCGGAATCAGTGACAACTGAATTTGGAAGGATCAAACAACATGTGACAAAGTTTGTTAAACTTGTCAGATAATTTAATGAACTGTTTCAGTGTTGAAGCATTTCAAGATCCCTTATCTACCACAACTTTCTAAATTTTACTGCTTGATACATTAAACATTAAATAATGGATCAGTTTTTCATTTTAAGAGCATATGCTGTTACATGTTTATTTTATATCACAGTATATTCCACTATTTCACTGTTACCAATGCATGGCAGATCACTTATTTTTCCTTTTTTAAGTTACATATATCTACTCAATAAACAATTTCAAAACCTTATGGCTTGAGAAATAATTAAATGTAAGATTGAAAAATCCACCTTCTCCCCGACTCCCTTGTTATCTCAATGGAAATTACTGTACTGATTCTACCTTTTTTCAAGAATATTCTGATGTGGAATGAGTTGCAAGTTATTAAATGATTTATATCAATGTTTCTCAACCTCAGGAACTTTAAATTATATGGACTTCAACTCGCAGAATTCTTCAAAGTTCTGGGATTGAGAAACCCTGATTGAGGTAAAAGGGAATTTCATGCACGGTGACATTTTCTTTGAGGAAAACATCTGAGACAAAAGACAATAAAGCACTTTTCAAAAAACGACAAAAGAGTTTGTTACCAAGATGAACTTTGCTCCAAATATTCCCTTTTATTGCTACACTAGATACACAAACAACAATCCAGTGGAGAAATAACTTAAATTATCTATTATAAAATTTGGGGCAATGTAATTTTATTTAGATTATTACTGCTAACTTTTTTGTGGGGGGGAGAACTGGATCATTTAATCTTACTGCAAAAATATAGTGGCTATACCTTTTGTCCGTAGGAATTAATCAGAGGAAAATAATCTTCATGTATCTGAGGTTTGGTAAATGCTGGTTTTTATCAATTAATCCTTAATGTGCAAGGCTGGGGACTTGATCAAATGATAAGGTGTTCTAAGACATACTGCATATATTTAAAACAAGACATGGACATCAAGCACCCTAAAAAGTTCCATTGGGCAGAATGTATAATATTACTTGTGTGTCTGTGTTTTTCTCTTTACAGTTTTTTATGGTGCCATTGAAAAGATTTCTGACACCATCAGAATTTGAAACAGTATTCATCAACATTCCTGTAAGTAATATTTCTAGAAGTTGTGATATTCACGTGAAGACTATGTGCAAGGCATTGCTGGAGAATTTAGACAAATAGGATGTACAGAGAGGATCCTTTGAGACTTAACAGTTGAATTGATAGATGAGCTTAGCAAATGGAAATTGTAGCTCACCTATCGGTCTTACTCCTTCCTGCTCACATAACCACTTATTGCTGTTGCTACTTTGTCTAGCCCACTCCCTTAAGGAGGAAGAGTTTTACCAAAAGAAGATTAAGGCTTCCTACAGAGAGGTTGGGAAGAAATGAACACATGTTTCATTTCATACAAAGCTCTAAAGGGAATAACAGCAACAAAAGTGAAAAAAGCTTTGTTGTCAGGGTGCTTTATTGTCATTGCTCAGGAAAATGTAGGATTGAGGGTGCTCCACTGGTGAGCTATTGTTGGCTTAACCTTGTCTTTCCTGTTTAGTCGCCCAAGGTAAAGGGACAGAATTAAGGACAAGGCTGCTGTTTACCTTGTCTACTAGAATGTTACTTTAAAATGTCACATCAAAACATGTGTATCTTTCTCTCTAATCTGTGAGTGAGTTTCATTTTTTAAGATAGAAGATGAGAGCCAACTCTTTTCCATGAAAAAAATACAATAATATATTAAATAACTAAGCAAATTAATAACTTTTCCTAATGGTCTAAATTAGCTGTCTGATGGATTTGAATGGATTAGTTAATTAATTGTGTTTAAAACCCATTTTCCAGCCAAGTTTTTCTTCTTTTTTTATGTAGAGGGTTTATACATAGGTGGGCAGTGGGATTCATTGTACCATCATTCTCTTCTCCGTTGTGTTTAGAATTTCTCCTCTCATACACTGCTTGGGTAGTTTATCTTGACCTAAAAAATGAAAACAAAGTCAAATCTTCTAAAAAATACCACCGAGAAAGTGTTCTTTTCAGTTAGGGTGATGATGTCAAGGGAAATAGTAGAGGCTTCTCCATTCTCTGTGTTAGAAGCTGCTAGTCAGCAATCAATAGATTCCTTGTCTGTTGGCGAAAGGTGTCTCCTGCTAGGAAAATTCAACAACTTTCCTCAGGAGGCTTCTGATATGTGTTGCACTGAGCATTTACACATTCACATCCGTCCTTCTAGGCATTTTTGCAGTGTCTTGTGGAAAAGAAAGTTCTGGCACTATACACATTTATTTTGTTTGAAGTGGAAAAACAGGAACAAACAAGCCTCTGAATTTATGACTCAGTTGTGTGGACTAGAGCTTTATTTAATAGTAAGAAATTTACAGTTTATTTAACTTTTGAGGAGCAAGACATTAACATTAAATTTATAAAGGTAAATGGAATTTCCTCCATGTCCCTATGCCTGGACATTAAACCTGATTGCAGTCAGAAATTTAAAATGGAATTAGGATATTTTCTGAGTTTATTTTGACCAAGTGAAGTCTTACTATGCAACCATGGATCTGGAAAGAAAGAGACTGAGAATTAATGCCTTAGCAATAGAAGATAGAGTGAAGTTATCCTATCCTTAATCTAGATAGGTAAACTATGAATAAGGTTTAATGTGCCCAGTTGACTTAAAACTGCGATTGTGAAATCAGTGTTCTTTTAAATTTATAATTTCTTAAGAGTTATATAACAAATACATACTAGTAAGTTTAAGGTAAATAAATATTCATTTTAATAACCACAATGATAGTACTTTTTAGTTTCTAGTGTTAAATAATCTAATCACTGTATTTCATTGTATGAAAATAATAACTTTATAATGAAAAGCTGATATGATAGCACTGAAGATACTTATAAAATGTTTATATTTTTGTTTCAGGATTTGGTGAAAATCCACAGAACTTTAACACAAGATATTTATGAATCCATTGTAAGCAAAAGTGACCAGAACTTGTATAAAATATTTATTAGCTACAAGGAAAGGTAATAGTCCTTTATACATATAAAATGTATATTTCAAAATGTGAACTTGAGCTGTTGGTATTAATTTATTCATGATAAGTTCCTAACTGTATTTAATGTAGTTTAAGTAAAAGTTTTGTGTTCAAATATGAACAGTTTTCATATTTAGTATTAATCTATAATACATGATTTCAGTGCATTAAAAACTCAATTAAATTTCATAGAAAGTTATTATGTAGAATACATTATATCCACCCCTTTTTCCTTTTGTATATTTTGTAATGGTTTTCTTGGATATTAACCTTACTTTGTGTGTGTGTGTGTGTGTGTGTGTGTGTGTGTGTGTTTGTGTGTGTATTATATATGTGTGTGTATTTATGTGTATTTCTAGAAGTACTGGAAGAGAGTTAAGGTTGGGATTGGCCACAGAAACTTCATTATATCCATTCCTTCATGTTATTATTTCGGGATGGGGAATACATGGGACAATTTAAACTTTCTATAGCCAGGACACAATTGATGCAATCACTAATTCAAATTATGTGATTCCTTCCCTTCTGCATTGAGCTTTCTGAGGGTTGTGTTACAAGCAGTCCTTGATTTATGACTGTTTACTCAACTGTTTGAAATTACAACGGCACTGAAGGAAGGGAACATATGACTTGTACCCAAAGTTACAGCCACTGCAGCACCTCTGTTCTCATGTGAACAAAATTCAGATGCTTGGCAATTCTCCTGCCCTTATAACTAAAAGATGTTGCAGCAGCCTCCACCCACCTATCTTGCTCAAAGCTTGGTCCGGGGGACGTGCAGTGCAGGCCTGGGCCTACATCAGACCTCTTAAGGCCTGCCCCAGCCCCTGAGGCAACTCATGCTCTGCTTAGTGACTCACATGGTTGATCACAACAGGGGGAGTAGGGATTGTGGTCATTAAGCAAGGTGAGCAGCTGGGCTTAATGACTGGTACAATCTTGATTGAAGACTACCTTAATAATAAATACTAACATTATTTTGTAAAAGGTCTATAGTTGTATTTTCAGCCAGATTAAAGTCATAACATTTACTTTTGAGACTGAGATTTTTAAATATCATTTTGATTATAATAGTTGCTGAGAAGGAACCACATGCACTTAAAAATTTACAGGTAGCTTCTGCTTACAACTGTTTATTTTAAAAAGATTCACAGTTACAGTAGCAATAAAAAACTGACAACTGGTCCTTGCACTTATGACTATTGCAGCATTCCCCACAGTCACATGATCAAAATTCATGCACATGGCAACCGGCATGCATTTCTTATGGTTGCAGCATCCCAGGGTCACGTGATCACCATTTGCGACCTCCCAGGTCAACCGCTGACAAGCAAAGTCAGTGGCGGAAACCAGATTTGCCTAATGACATGATTCACAGAGATGCAGTGCTTAACAACCATGGCAAAAAGGTTGTAAAATCAGCCATGATGACTCACTTAACAATTAACTTGTTTAGCAATGGAAATTCTGGTTCCCTCTGTAGTTGTAAGTCAAGGACTATCTGTAAACTGTAGTTAGGGAAAAAGTTAAAATAAACTTGTTGAATGTAATAAATGAATATTAATAATACACCAATGAATTGATGTATCTCTCTCTCTTTTTGTATTGTTCTAGATTGGTGATTTATGGGCAGTATTGCAGTCAAGTAGAGACGGCTATTTCCTGTTTAGATATTATTTCCAAGACAAAGGAAGATGTTAAGCTGAAATTGGAGGTGCTGGGACATTTTATTGGTTTATTTACAAATAGAAACACTTTGATTTGAATCAACTCTTACAATAAAACTACCATCCATCATCTATCTATCTATCTATCTATCTATCTATCTATCTATCTATCTATCTATCTATCTATCTATCTATCTATCTATCATAATTTTGGACAGTTTACAATGTTAAAAGCTTTAAAACCACATATTTATATCTGTGACAATCTCTCTCTCTCTCTCTCTCCTTTCCTTCCCTATCCCTATCCCTATCTCCAGAGATGGGCTTCAAAAATGTCAGCAACCATTTTTCTGCCTAGTTGCTGGGTGGGCATGGTCATGGTGGGCATGGCCTAGTCAGCCTCCTGCACCATGGTGGGGGGGGGGGCGTTTTCACCTTCCCCAGGCTCCAGAGTCTTTCCTCGAGCCTCTGGGAGGGTGAAAATGGCTCCCCTGGACTCCAGAGGCCAAAATGGCCCCATTTCCAGCCTTCCGAGCCTCTGGGAGGCCTGGTTTTCCACCTCCCCAAGCCTCTGCACTTACCTCGCATCCAAAACGGGCCACATGGAGACTCCTGGGAGGGGAGGAATGGGAGGGGCTATCCAGGGGTGGAATTTGGTGGTTCTCTAAACTGGCCATAACATTAGCTATGGATTCTCCCGAACCCAGGCGAACCCATAGCAACCCACCCCTGCCTGTCCCTGTCTCTTTATCAACAATAAGAATACAAAATTATGATTAAAAGATGGAAGGGGAGGGAGCACGATGTGTAGGGGGAAAAGGTGGGATCTACTATTAGTCAGTTTTATGTATTGCCTACCAAATAGGTATTCCAATCTATGTCTGCTAATTTTATTTTTACAATGAAATTGGAAATTATGATCTGTGTAAATATTATGCAGACTATGGTGGTTGAGGTGGTGAGATGGTTAAAGCTGAGATGGAATGGATGGAACAATTTCCAAATGCAAATGGAGTCTGAAGCCCCTCCCCTATAGATAACATGTGTCACCACTGAAGGGGATTGGGTTGAAGGGCCGAGTGCAGTTCATTCTTTGTCATAGGAAAGAGCACTTTGCAAGGCAGATTTGAGGGACAATAGCCCACAATTCTGTACTGAAGAAGTATGTTCTTCAGTACTTGCAATGCCACCTCATTCTCCTTAACGTGCAGACCAAGGGTTAAAATTGCCTGTGAATTTATTTACAGCGATAAATCTTAGAGCTCTCTTGCAATAAATCATAGAGTTCTCTTGCAAGGTTTAATTACTAAGGGTATCCACACAGGGCTACTTGAGCCCTCCAGAGTGGTTCTGAAAGTTGTTGCTGAACTACAATTCTAATAGAGGAAACTTATTAAATGCATGGGGAGTAATCATGTTGACTACTTAATCAAGTTTAAATTTAATTATATTTATATGGACATTAAATTAACTTTATCCTGGCTCCATTTACTGTTCTGTCCTGGCTCCACTTACTTTTTGGATGTCATCCCTTGATATTGTACCCCAACAGAAAAGAACTCCTGAGTAATCTAGTCAAATATTCCTGAATTGGATTGCCAGCCAAAATTTTTTATAGCATCATCAGAGTTTATACTGTAGTACCATCTGTGTAAACCTTATGACTTTATTTAAACACTTACATACTTTTGGGGTTGATAGCTGTATTGTTGTTATTGTTTCAATAAGGCAAATAAAACAAGAGCAGTCCTTGGTCTGTTCCTATTGTAGAGGAAATGTGGGCAATCTTAATATAGGGCAGCACCACTATCTATAGGATGGGAGAAAGAAATTAAATATTTATATTTATAAATTACAATTGGATGTGGAAATTATTATTATTTCTTAAATCCCTATAAATGAGTTTGAAAATTTGAAAGGGGAGAGACTGAAATTAAAATTTTAGTCATCTTCACTTGCTTCTGATAGTCCTGACCAGATCATAACCCAATGATTTCTCCTAACCCAGACCTTCTGAATCATTTTTGAACTGTGCTTGATCTTTGAATTACAAAACAGTGGGGCTGGGTGAGAAAGAAGACTAAATCTAAGAATCCCAGTATTCAAGCTTAATAAAAATTCAATATAATTGAATAGTTGGTGCAGTTTGAGAAATACATATCTTATGAAAAAAATAACATTGCCATTTTGATTATGTGCCAGAGTCACCCTGAGACATTTTATTTGTTCAATTTTTGGTTATTCTTTCATTAGGAATGTTCCAAAAGAGCTAATAATGGGAAGTTTACTCTGCGGGATCTCCTTGTAGTTCCAATGCAACGAGTTTTGAAGTATCACCTGCTACTTCAGGTATTTCCTTTTTCTATTCATTGAGATTGTATCTTGCTAGTTCTATCTCTATGCAACTATTTAGAACACTTGCTGTTTTACTGTGAATTTGCACTATTGAGAATGCACTTTTAAGAATTTCAGCTGCAAGGTGTCACCGGACACAGACTGATTGATTATTGGTTATATGCCATCAAGTGGGTGTCAACTCTTAGCAACCAAGTGATAGATTCTTCACAAGTGTCTATCACTAACCTGGTCTTTTGGTCTTTTATTTTAAATAAAAGGTTAAAAGGTCATTTTAAAACACCCTGTCAATTTTAAGCTTTTTTGGGGGGATGGAGCTCTTTTAGAAACATTGCACTCACTTTCTTTGGGGAGGAACTCACAATTCTCAACAACAGCAACAGCTTGTTATCCCACTTAAAGCAAAGCTACCACTCAGAACTGGTGCTACTGTAGCTTGCTGATGTCTAGTCTCAGCCACTGTATTGTTTAGTAATGTCTAATCCACACTGGTGCATTCCAGTTGGGAATTGTAATGCAACATCTGTAAGGTTGAAGAACCTGATATGATATGATGCAGTGAGCAGGTCAGTTCTATTAAATTGTTGGGTTTTTTTTTTTTGTCAGCCAAGGTATGTATCAGTATAATATATCATCAGCAAGAGCATAACAAACCCATAATGGCTCTGATCCATGTGGAGAGTTGTATTAAATTGTACAGCTGTCCACCTGGTAGGTGTTGCAAAAGTTGCCCTAGGGATCAGCTATGAAGAGTATAGTGTCTAAATCAATTTAGAGAGATTGTGGATTCTCATAGTACGGTAAATGTGAGGGCCTACAGTATACAAGAAGAGAAAGATCCTTTGTCTAGAAAGGTTCTCCACCAGCCCAATCCTATTGGAATTCAGTTGATTTCACAATAGCTGAGTAGTTGTCTTGTCTGTCTACCTGTCTTTTTTTTTTAAATAGTATAAATCAATATCATATACTAATCTTAGATAGTAGACAAAATGGTGTTTTTTTTTTGCTGTACATAATTAAGGTTGAACAGGAAGCAATCGCTTCTAGGTTACTTCTGTTCTGTGCTGGATTATAATAATGCCGTTTTTATTTAGAATGTTTCCCATTACAACTCCCAGAGCGCTGGCTCCTGTGCAGTTAGTACTGTAATGGAACTCGAGAATCTTCTAAATATCATTTGATAGCTTTGCTGGGGGACACATTAGTACAGCTGTAGAGAGCTACACTATTGTATTAGATTGTCTGCATTGCTCATACTTACAAAGTGTCATTTAAAAAAGAGCTTCTGTCTATGTAAGAAGCAGTATTTTGTTTCTGTAATGCCTTGTTACATGCAATATATCAAGGTTCCATGGGTTTTATGCATTTTAACTGCATTTGTCATTGATACATTACCCTTTGCAGAAAGTTCTAGTATGATTTTAACAGGAATAACTTTTATTTTAAAACGTTCGTTTGAATAAAAGTCAGTATCATGCTGCTAATTTTCCCAGTTGGTAAAACTTTCAGAAACATTGCTACTTTTTTTTAAAAAAATCTGTTTTATAAATTGTGAAAGAATATATAGAACAAGTAACACAAAGAAGAAAATAAGGGGCAGATACTGAAACATAAGCAGATAAATAATAAATTTGAATGTTAATATGACTAATATATTCCAGTACATCATTGAAAGCTTATACAGACATGATATTCTTCTGATTAAAATCGGAATTCCAATTTTTTGGGGAATGCCCCCCCTTTCCCCCCCTTCTTCTCCTCCTTCCTCTCCCCTCGGAGGCCCCGAGTCAGGAGTTGCTACCGCTGGCGCGGCTCTGCGTGGCTCCAGTCCCGCGTTGCCTCAGGAAGGGAAAGGCAAAAAGGAAGAGCCGCGGCGGCGCTTTGCAACGGCAGCAGTGGCTCCTGGTTTTGCCTTTCCCTTCCCGAGACAACGTGGGACTGGAGCCGTGCGGAGCCGCGCCGGCGGTAGCAACTCCTGACAGCCCCAGCCGGATACCTGAGCGGAGCCCGGGCAGGCGGGCGGTGCGAGCGGAGCCCGGGCAGGCGGGCGGTGCGAGCGGAGGCCGCTGAGCGGCAGGAAAAGGGAGCTGGGCAGCGATTTCTTGGCGCGCGGTGGGGGGGTCTCTTTTGGCCGGCCCCGATTTTTTTTTCAGAGGGGAATATCATGCCTGCTTATAGTATTATAAAATATTTCATATTTACTAGTCACAATCCACACATCTCTATTGAGCTTTAAGTGTGGATTAGTGTAAATACAAAACTTATACATTTTTTAAAATTGGGGTTGCGGATTGAGATTATGTTCCTTACAGAGAAAAGGGTATGTGCATCTAAATAAAAGATGAATTAGAAACAATTTGATCATGTTAATCTGGGGGCATTTAACCAATATCCTGAAATATTTGTTGTGCTACACAGAAAAGCTGAAACCGAAAAGTAAAACCTAAATGTAACGTTGGCTAAAAGTCTGTTTTAAAATCTCTAGATTTATTGGTGAGCTGAGAAAAACAACAACACATCTTTAGAATAACTTTGAGTAATGGCAGTATAATTGGTGCTTTAGATTGAGCTACATTGATTATAGCACATCCATAATTTTCTGAGTTTCTCTCCATTATAATGGGTTGACAATAACTGGCATTCTGTAATATAGGAGCTGGTAAAGCACACTAATGACATAACTGAGAAGGCAAATCTAAAGTTGGCCCTTGATGCAATGAAGGTAAGTGTGATTGATTGACTATAACCTCTCTAATATAAAATGAAAAAAGTCTTTTCTAGAAAGAAATTAACAATTAAATATTTTGAAACTTGCTTGGTTGCTATCTTGTGGAAAGCTGGCATAACATGCTTATAAATGAAAGCAAACAAGCTCATTTCACAATCCAAGGGCCCATGTTTAATTTATTATTTGATTGTTTGTCAAACAATTGGCTTTCAAATAGAAAAGCCAATAGTTTTCGAACAGAAAACTCTGGCTTTCAAATAGAAAAGGTTCTATAATGTTGCTGCACATCACATGCATACAGACTATACTTTGGCACATTGCACATTCTATTTCATGTTTTCAACTAGTTTTTTCAGTGCAGAATTTGGTGAACATTGAGCAGAAACTGTATCTTTTACAATGGTGTTAAAAGATTTCAGGACTTGGGTCAGCCTTTGTGACCCAATTTCTCCTTCCCAAGGATGAGAAGTTGATAATAGGTAGTGTGTAACATAGTTTTTCCAATAAGTTCATGCTGCCATTTAATGTATAGTTGCTTCAATAACAGTAGGGGGACTAGAATTAGTCCAGCTGTTTAATCAATCTGACCTAAGTCACACTCCCTGAATTAAACTGAAAATTAGAATACACTTATCTTTAGATTGCATTTTTTAAAAATGCGATGATGTATTTACTCTATGCAAAAATGTGTATATTAGGGGAAGGTTCATATATAAATAAATGGCTTTTTTTAAAAAAATCATAACTATAATGTTGAAAATTGGACATGAGTGGCTTTCAGCCCTTAATCAACTTAATCAATCTTTATTCCACATCAAATTTCTTTTTCTTTTCTGTGTTTTAGGACTTGGCACAATATGTAAATGAAGTGAAGCGAGATAATGAAACCCTCCGTGAAATTAAGCAATTTCAATCATCAATAGAAAATTTGGTAGGACTTTATAAGATGTTGGTTTCTTACTTTTTAGGTGTCTTTTTCCCTTTGTATATTTTTCATTGATAGACCTATAAGCAGTGAGAATTCTGGCAGAGTTATGATTAAAGTCTGTGTGCAAGCATGTTCAGAGTCAATATATATATTTTCTCAAAAAGGTTTGAATATTCCAACTGGAATACTGAGAGCCAGAAAAGGGCTGTTCTAGATCGTAACTATGCACATGCTTATTTTAAAAACAAGACTTATTTTATTGCAATTGTTTTCATTCCCAGCCAGAATTAATCTCAAACAGTCCCTCGAGATAAGCACCCACCTTTCCTTTCTGTGAAGTGCTGCCAATAACAGAAGTATCAAATGAACTAGAAAAAAAACCAATCGAAGTTCAAAGAGCTTCAATAATGAATCTGAACCGAACGAACGACTTTGCTTCCTGCAAAGGTGTCGTCATCTTTGCCAGTCCTTTATACCTGATGGGAAGGGCAATCACCTCACAGCCTTACTCCCAAATTGCTCCTTTTGTTTCAGCTGCCGTTGCCTTCTAGCAGCTCTGCACACACACACACAGGGAACAGGCTCCACTGGGTCCTCTGCCTTGCTGCTGCCAGGCTCCGGAGGCTCCGGAGGCAGCACCCCACTCCCAGATGGTCCTGGCCCCATCTCTGCATCGGATGCAGGACCCTCGTCCGAGTCCTCTCCAGACTTCTGGACTGATCCCTGTTCTTCCCCACTGTCCGATTCCGCTGCCATTTGCACTGGCTGCCGGCGAACCACAGCAAGGGCTATCAAGAGAGTTTGAATAGAAACAGGAACTCTCAGGCACAAAGCTTTGACTCAAGAAAGGAAAAAAAGAGATAAGAATCTGTAATGGATTTAAAATATTAAGAGTGTTTGAATTTGCAAACTTTAGGGTGTGCGTTCATGTGATTTTCTTGGTTTTAGTTTAGTATGATTTAGAACTCTTCAATTTTCACCTAGTTCACAAACCAAGGGTAAAGTATGTTGTTTGATTTATTATCCAGAGTTTATCATGTAAGAATGTTTTGTAAAAATAGTCCTATGAAAAGATTAAGACAATTATAGCAATCGAAAGCTATGTTATTGCAGGTACTAAACCACACAATACAGAACTCTTTTAAGGCACAACTCCTTAAGGCAGAGATTGATCCCTGGCATAAAAACTAAACTCAGATTATTCTTCAGTTGCTTTTTTAGTTCTGTAGCATAAAACCTGGAGAGCATCAAGTGTGTGAAGAATGACTTATTCCTTACAGCTCTTTTTTTTTGTCTCAGGCTAAAGAAAGGTTAGATCTCTGACAATTCTACTAATTTTTCTTACATGAAGAAATGTGAGGCAGTGTTGGGCAGAAGTGGTGGGATGAGAAACTGAGCATAGACAATCATGCTAGTTCTTTTGGGGAAGGGTGTAAGAATGTGCATGTATTTTGATTCCAGCTCACGATAAAACAATGCCACGAAGCATATGGGGTCTGCTGCATTTGATAAGACAAAAGCTGAAATGGGTTGAGGGTTGTGACTATAAAAATCATAGGGAAAGTGAAACAAGCCCCTTGCTGTCGTATTTTATCCCCTGGAGTCGCAAAAAAGGTGGGATGACTGTCCATTCTAGATACTGCTAGACAACCCTTAGAAAGTCTGGCAATATTTAAAAATGCTGTCATAGAATTAAAAAAAAATTTTTTTTAAAGGAAAACATGGTTTTGAGGATGAGAATCTGTTGCTTAATAGTTGATAGTTAACATAATCACAGAATCTGTTACATGAAAAGCTGTCTAGGTTTCTCAGTAGAAAAAGCAGTAGTCTTTTCAATTTCTTCAAGTAAACTCTTGGGAATATTTAGCGAACACATTACCCTGAATGAGATAAACTTTCTAGTCAATTTTCCTTGGCCAGATTTTAGTAGTTAGTCATCAGATGTCAGCCAGCTAAAAGCAGCAGAGACAATTCAATTTATTGACTGGATCCCCATTCCTATCAGACTTGTTTTGTTCTTAAATCACTTGTAAACATATTTTTAAATGCTGCCACCTGTTGCTTCTAAGAACTCTTACATGAATATTACAAGAGCTTGCTGGTAATTATAAGAATGTAGTACTGCTTCAACTGACTTCATGGCATTTAAATGCATTCTGAAAAGCTCTGAAGCACGCAGTCAGGCAGAGATGAGTTAGGAAAAGTTAGGTAGGACCCTTTTAAAATAAGAAAGAGAAAGAAAGGGACAGCAGAAGCTTATCAAGCCATCTTGGGTGATGTCAGTCTTGGCAAAAAAAAAAGTATTCTGGGCTATCAAGAAGGCCTAGAAGTATGCTTAAGAGTATCCTGAAAAAGCTCAACAAAGCTACCCAAACCAACATTGTACTTGCAGTATTCACATGTTCACCCACAAGAGCAACGTTTGTTAATGAAGGAAAGTTACAAAAACTGCTTTCCCATGCAAATTCCAACATAGCAATGAATCAGTTAAAAAAGAAAGTGATTGGCCAATCAGATTCTATGACTTATAGTGATAAAAATCCAGGGCTACGTCTATTCTTAGGGCAAGAGGGCATACACTACTATTATAGAAAAGTAAAAAGTTGAGGTTTGATATTAATGCCTTATTCCACTGCAACAGAGGAGTCGGAAATCAACCCCCTCTTTTTTTCTTTTCTCTCTCTCTTCCACATTTCTCTCTTCTCCTTCGCCTCCCTTCTGTGTCCTATTATTTGCTTTTGTATTTTTGTATTTAATACTATAAACTAATAAAAAAATAGGACACACACAAGCCCGAGAACAGTGTTTCTCAACCTTGGCAATTTGAAGATGTGTGGACTTCAACTACCCAGAACTGTTTACGCTGCCAAGAAACATTGCCCTAGAACAGCGGTCACCAACCGGTGGGCTATGGCCCACTGGTGGGCCCTGAGAAAATTTTGGTGGGCCACAGAGAAATCTCACCCCCAGAGCACCCTCCCAAAGCAATTAATCCAGGCTGTGCAGAAACACAAGGCTGCGCCACCCACATGGCCCATGGGAACCCTCCCCGGCCACTCACTCCTTACCTGGTAAACTTGCCTGCTAAATTTCTATTTTTCCTTTTTCCAACCATCATCTGTTCTGCTGTGCCGGGAGATTTAGATTAGCTAGAAAGCAGGAAATGGTTGGATTTCTTGCTTTCTAGCTAGTCTTAAGATCTTTGGCTCTGCTTTTAAGTACAGCTAAACCTCCCTTAGGACTGAAGGTTTGCTTGCAAGCAAATTCAGTGTAGATTCACGGCAAGCAAATTTGAGAGACTAAGCTAGCCGATGGTAGATAGATCACTGAATGATTCTGTGAGCAACTCAATCTACCTGCTTTGCCTGATTTTGGGTAAAAGTTGCTCTTTTTAAAAAAATAAAAAATTCAATATTTACATGCATGGTGTGTCCTAAGCTAATTTTGTGAGTTTGCTTGCAAGCAAATTTTATGTGACAGACTGAGCTAGTCAATGGCAGATAGATAGATTTCTGAATGAATCTGTGATTCTGTGAGCAACTCAATCTGCCTGCCTGCTTTGTCTGATTTTGGGTAAAAGTTGCTCTTTTCTAATAAAAAAAATGCAATATTTATATAAATATTTATAATATTTACATACAAGCCATGCCCAGACAGTCACATGACCACCAAGCCACACCCACAAATTAAGCTACACCCACAGAACCAGTTTAGTGATCCCTGGGATCTAAAATTATGAGTTTGGTGGTCCCTGAGGTCCAAAAAGTTGGCGACCCCTGCCCTAGAAGATATCTCAGAAGTTATAGCTAATGCAAAAGAGCGGTGGCCTGGCTTGTTAACTGGAAAATGCAATTCCTAGAAGAATGTCACTGGCTCTGTATACAAGGCCTGATTGTTGAAGGAGGATTTCTTCCAGGATGCATTACACATTAAAGTGTATTAAGTACAGAATACACATAGAAAAAAAAATCAGAAAATAAAATACAGGCTGAATAGTCAAGACCTTGTTGATGATCCAAACTCTGTCAAGGATCTTGGAGTACTCATCTCAAATGACCTAAGTGCTAGAGCCCACTGTAACTACATAGCCAAAAAGGCATTAAGAGTTATTAACCTAATCCTATGTAGCTTTTTCTCTGGCAATATTACACTACTAACTAGAGCATACAAAACATTTGCTAGACCAATACTCGAATACAGCTCATCAGCCTGGAACCCACATTACGTATCTGATATTAACACAGTTGAGAAAGTCCAGAAATATTTCACAAGCAGAATTCTCCACTCCTCTACTTGTTGCAGAATACCTTATGCCACCAGACTCGAAATTTTAGACCTAGAAAACCTAGAACTATGCCGCCTTCGGTCCGATCTAAGTATAGTATATAAAATCATACATTGCAATGTCCTACCTGTCAACGAATACTTCAGCTTCAACCATAACAACACAAGAGCATACAATAGATACAAACTCAATGTTAATCGCACCAAACTTGATCGCATGAAATACGACTTCAGCAACAGAGTGGTCAATATCTGGAACACTCTACCTGACTCTGTGGTTTTTTTCCCCAAACCCCAAAAACTTTAACCTTAGACTGTCTACTATTGACCTCACCCCTTTCCTAAGAGGTCTTGTAGGGAGCGTGCATAAGCGCACTAATGTGCCTACCGTCCCTGTCCTATTGTTTCTTTTATTTTTTTTATTTTTCTTATATGTATCCATGTATTCATAACTTATGTTTTTACTTATACCTATTATCTTGTAAGCAATTGACAAATAAAAAATAAAAATAAAAATAAATAAAATGAATAGCTGAGTGAGATATTATGTGCCCAGCCCTTCTCTGTTGTGGCGTCTTGGCTCTCATTGTTCTCCTGGAAGCCAAGCTGGTGCCTTTGGAGACTTGCCCACGCCCCCTTTTTATAAATATATGGGGGTCTTAGCCATAAATAGCCACAAATGTTTTGCCTCTCTGGCAGGGCAACTATGTTTTTATTGCATTCATTACTCCATTTGTTATTTTATTTTATTTTTATTGTGTTATGTTGCTTTTACAGGCTGGAGAATATGCAGGCTGTAAATATTTCAAAATAAGTACATAAAATGAGAGGAAATGAAATGGCAAGGAAGGAAGAGTTTTTCATTTCTCTCCCCTGTAACTAGTGCCCATTACTCCAGGTTAAGTCTGAAGAGCTAAAACCAAAACCCAAGAAGAATCCTATTAAACTAGGACAGCTTGCAGCTTGACTCAAAAACAGCGTGTTCAATTTCCAAATTTCCAGCTGAAGGTGTGGCAATAGCATTTAGAATTACAGGCACTGGCTGTAGCAGACTCCCTGGTCTTTAGTCTTCTTTAGCAACAGCAGAAGCATTTTGGATCTATGAGTCATGTGCCTGTTTCTCAACACACAATTGTCACCCCAATGTCTAACTAAGTCAATAGCAGTAGGTTTAGGATCACTCCCTGCAGGCTAGAAAAATTAAGAACAAGCTAATTGCTTTTTCACCACAAAGATCCAATTGCAATGTTCTGAACAGATGGAGAACTAAAATGTTTCAGATGGCTAATGTTGAACTGGAACTACTTGAAGTAAATACTTTGCGATTGAAATGTTTTGCATACCCCTTGTAGAGTGGGTCAGAGATGCTCTGGGTCGTGCTGCCAATTTTGCATTTTTATTTGCCATCTGCCTTACATCCAACCATTTTTCAGAATGTTGAACGCAGCATCTTCCTGCAATAAAATTGTTGGATGTCTTTTAAATGATTAATGTAATTTTTACTTCTTTCAGAACCAATCCCTTTTACTCTATGGAAGACCACAGGGCGATGGTGAAATAAAGATAACGACTCTGGACAAACGAGCAAGACAAGATAGGTAAGAAGAGTTTCAGTTTGTTTTTGGGATGTATTATTTTGCAATGATCCCAGATCAATACTTCTGAAATGGCACAATACCTGCGGTTCACTAGTTGCATAACTATAATGCCAATGAATTCAGTGATCTGACCATGAGAAGGAAGCAAATGTGCCATAGCATTATATTTCTTTTCAGCTAAGAAAAATAATCTTGGAATGTGCACTGGTAGATAGATTGGATGATAAAGACAATCCCATTGGTCTATTGTCAGTGTCTATTGATCATTCCAAATTAAGTGCTTTAAAAATATTTTTTAATATAAGCAAAGTGTCAAGATACACATTAAATTCAAAAATCCATAAAAATAAAATGATAAACAAACAAGAAATAAAGGAAGCAAAGACATTCTACCTTATATATGGGTAGTCCTTGAGTTATGATGGCAGTTGGGACTGGAATTTCCATCTCTAAGCAATGCAGTTATAAAGGCCAACACCACTGCAATTCTCATTGTCATTATTAAGCAAAGATTTTGGGTTCTTAAGTGAGCACTTCCTTGCAACTTCCTGCTGGCTTTCAATAGCCACAATTCAGTGGGAAAACTGGCAAGAAGTTTGCAAATCCCAGGCAGCTCGCAAGCAGGATGATAGAGAGTGAGGGGGTGTTGAGATGGCTGGAGAGGCACAGCATGAACGTGATGGGACTTGGGGTGGTTGTTGCCAGGTGGGAGAGGTACCTCAGTGGTATGGGTGGTATTTGAAATATTAAAAATGTCTAAGACTATAAAAATGCTTGGAGACTGTGTAGGTCTGAATAAGGTGGAACTGTCTTTATCCCAATCCTACTAAGACTCTGAGTGTCTGTAATTGTTGGGACTCCTGGAACTTTACAGACATTTCAACTTTTATCTTGGGTGGGGTTTCGCTTCCCCCCTGAAGGGTAGAAAGCAATCTGGGAGCGTTCCTGGAGTCTTAACTCCTGCTCAGTGAGCATATGGCAGCTTTGGCCTAGAAGGCCTTCCACAGCTTCATTGCTGTCAAGTAAACTGGTGCACCCATTACTAAATCCAGAGACCTTTTTGTTGGAGAATACTCATCCTTGTTGGGAGGGGGGCTTGTGAGGAATCAGCCTGGACTCACTACATAAACGCAAGGTCTGAGGTACACTGATTACCCTTCTGTTTCTATGTTCAAGATCATGACTTATAAAGCCTTACATGGCATAGAACCTGGTCATTTGGGGACTGTCTGCTTCCCATGATATCTTCCCAGCCAATAGAAACTGATAGTGTTAGTGTGCTTTCAGTTAAACACTTTATCTGCTTTCTTACTTATTTGGTTGGCTTTGTTTTCAATTGTTGTATTTTATTTTATTTTACATTGTAATAGTTGTTTGGAGATGTGCATCTAAATAAAATTAATTAAATTGAAATTAAATAAAAAATAGTGTCCAGTCCATTTCTCCCTCTCTTGATAGGGATTTAAGTGTTGTAGAATAGAATGAAATTTGTAAGTATGCTGCATAGAACTATGCAGTAAAAATCTAAAAATGCTGTTCAAAATACATATTTAAATTTGAGAGAAAATTTCAACTTAACAGTCAGATTTGACATTGTAATGTGTATTAAAAATTACTTCAGATAAACTCTACTCAAATATTTCTCAGCATTTTTAACCACAGGTTTAAATTCTTTACAACTTCTTATACTTTCATTTCTCCCCCAGGCATATCTTTTTATTTGACTTGGCTGTAATAGTATGCAAACGGAGAGGTGATAATTATGAAATGAAGGATATAATTGATCTTCAGGAATACAAAATAAGCAATAACCCTACCACTGACAAAGAGAGTAAAAAGGTAAAAATATAAAATAGGCCTGGATCCTTGACATGTTCTGCTCTAAAATAGTAAGATTCCTAATTACACTTAACTACTAAAAATTTCTATAAGCCCTTTTTCTAATTTATTTATCTGTAGCCTCTGTGTAGGAAACTGGGAATTAAGGAAAAATGTTTATCTTCTTGATTCGTTGCTATTCTTCCCCCCCCCCCATAACTTTTTAATATGGGGAAGCATTAAAACATGCAGAATGGTGCAGTGGTGCATTCTACAGCTTTGGTTTATCTGTTTAATATTTGCAATGGGATTAAAAATATATATTAAGATTCCAGGAAGCTCAAAAGTGTTCTGGAATGTTGTTACAATTATTGTTATTACATTTCCCCGGAACTTTGCTAAATTTGAAATGTATGTCCTCCAGACATTTCCCAAAGTGGTTGCCTCTCTGTTCTTAAAAGTTAATTCCTGAATTTTCTTCCTGTTTAAACAGTGGTCTTATGGCTTCTACCTCATCCACACACAAGGACAAAACGGCTTAGAACTGTACTGCAAAACCAAAGATTTGAAGAAGAAATGGCTTGAGAAGTTTGAAATGGCCCTGTGAGTAACCATAATACATTCAGAAATAATTGTCCAGATTGATTGGCATTCAGTGATCAATAATCTAGCAGGGATTTAAGATTTGAAACACTTTCTGGCACGTGCAAAATTTCTAAACATATGATTAAAAAGCTTTAAGAGATGAAATGTATAGGGGCAAAAAAGGTTTTCACAGTGAAAGGTAGAGGGCGCTCTAAGCTATATATTCATCGTGCTTCACTTCCCTATGAAAGTTATACAGTGCCATAGTGCTTTAAGGAAAATATTAATGGATTTAGCAATAAATATTTAACATAATTGTAGCTGATTTTGCTATCATTGCCTTGGTAAACTAAAATGTATTACTAAGGGAGATGGGGATGTTGGCTCTTTTCCTAGTGGCTTCTAACTAATTTATTATGTGGTATTTGGATCAGATTTCCTGGTTTATTAAATTTGACTTCAAGAATTTGATTCTTCTCCCTCCCCTTAACATAATAGCACAAGCGTGCATGTACCACAGAATCCTTTCAAAGAAATATAAATAGTTGAGAGCTGCCTATTGAAGCCGTGATATTTTGTACAGTATCTGTTTTTGAAATTTTCCTAACTCGTAAGTAATACCCCTCCCCCCAATTCTGCATGCCATTTCTATGGTTTATGAAGATCTTAATTAAGCATCAAATAAATAAGCAACTTGGACTCAGTGGAATGACTTCAGGTAAATACTGAGTTGTGTAGCTCAGGGAGGTTTATCACCATTTCTTTAATCTGTTATGTCGCATATAGAATAATTTACATTGGCCCATTTTATCTGTATAATATCTGTAGCTGTTTAACACTGCAAAACACCTAAAATAATAAATACTTATTCATCAGAAAACATTTAAGCAATTCTACACATTCTTTTTAAGCATTTAATTATCTCTCAGGTAGAAGTAGATGAATTAAAAGGCAACTTTTAAATTTATTTTTTCATAAATGCCAGTCTGTTTCTCTGAAACTGAAGAATTAATCCTAATTTGGGATCAAATTAACTAAAACATTTATATTTCCACCTTTTACATAAATATTCTGTTTCTTCACCATATAAAGTAGTAGTAGAGACATAATGATTGTTTTGGGAAATGACCAGCATATGTTTTCTTCTGCTTGCTTATTTATATAATATAATACACCCCATTCCATTCCACATCTCTCTTTTTGCCCTATTTCATCCAAAGAAATTGACGGATATATTTTACAGGTAGTTTATGCCATCATAACTGTCTCATATCACTTAGTGAATTTTCATAGCTTCACGTTGAATTGAATTTTTTTAAGATTTATTTTTCAAACCCAAGATTATTTTTGAATTGAGGCATATTCCTACAATGTAATCCCTTAATGAGAAACACAGAATATCCAAGCAGGTATAATCATATGCATAGCTAGTTTGTTATACCTTGGGGAAATCTGAGATTTAATAATCATTAATAGGAAAATAACAGGCTGGAAAGAGAATTAACCTTTAGAATTTTTTTTATTCTGTTGCAAATCATTTTCCAGAATTGTGAGCCACCAAATATGAAAAACAAAAACAAAACAAAACCCAGCTAACAATGTTTAGTTAATGAATTATCTGTGTTCAGCAGTGATATAATATACTGTTGGTCCCATTGATTTTGTACCTGTTAATTTAAATTTTCTTTGCTGTTCCTATTGTTACATGTTAGTTGAGTCTTGCTTAACAACCTGCATGTCTTGGGGTTATGATGACAACCAGGATTGCCTGGATTTCTGCCACTAAGTGATACAATCACATGGTGTCACATTTTATGAGCATGTCACTTAATGACGGCAATCCTAGTCCCAACTGTCAAGCGTAACTTCAGAACCAGTTGCAGTATGGAGATCTTCAAAATTGAGATACTAAAGGAACCCTTTTCAACGTGAAAAATGGGTGTGGAACCCTTTAATAAATAAGCTTTATATAATTGTAATAATACATGTCACACAATGTAATCAGAAACTGTCACATTGAGCCTCTTGGGTTCTGAGGGACAGTTTGGGAGGGATAATTTTCTGGAAAAAAACAACAGAGCACTGAAAAATTTAAAAAGTGTCTTCTGCTTGCTTATCAGTGCTTATGCCAGATAGAAGATTCATGCTATGAGTTTCCTTACCTGTCTGTTTCTTGCGTAGTCCCTAACCACTGTCGGTGTCTCCTAATTTTGCTTGTGATGTAATGGAAAATTGCTGTTTCTGATTGCACAAGGGCTTCTTTTTCAAAAGCTAGCACTTTATTGTGTGTTCTAAAAGGATACAGTGAGAATTTGATTATTTCCACTAGGAGCTTTATACCTCATGCAGCTCAAATGACCCAGCAAATACATTGTACACATTAGAGAGAATGAACAATGGATGCTTTGAGTATCTTAGCAACTGCTGCTGTTTTGATGATAATGTTAATGCTTGTTAAGTCTTCTAGTTGTCTGCTTTTCTGCACACAAGCTGTACTTAGGTAACTGTTGGGTTGGCCATCAGCCACAAGCAACAACACTCATAACCATCCTTCGGTAGAGTTGATTTATAGTTGTTGATTATCATAACTAAATAGGATCAAGGAATCTGATGACTTAGTTTAATGTTCTTGTCTTCTATATTTTGGATTCAAAACTTAACATTAGATTAGTAGTGTCAGTCAACTAGCATCAAGGACAGGGAGATATGTAAGCCTAGAGCAATCTATAGCCCAACTTGTTGGATCACTAAGGGTCATTTTACAAATTACATAGTAATTTCTACTTCCTGAGGTATATTTTTGCTCAGAAACTAAAGCTGGTTAGTACACCTTAAATGGAAGTGCATTTTACATATACATGCTTGTTGCAATCATACTTGCCTTCTTCATTTTTTGAAATTTAACAGTCACTAATTTTCAGAGTGCTTAAATTAAAGATATCCTATTTTCTTTCCATACAATTAGCACTTTTCTATATTCTTTATGATTTCACCTTCCCTTAAATGGAAAAGAAACTCTTGTCACATTCTTTCCAAATCAGGAATATTTGAGATGGAAGATAAATGGAAAAGTTGAACTTTCTCCAAACTTTTCCATTAATTTAAGTAGTACTTTTTCTGATTAATAAATTATTAAAAGGTTTTTAATAATAGTTGTTAGTTGGAAAAGCTGTTACCAGCCTCCAAATATTGAGATTGGGTTTTGTTTTCCCACATATCTCTATGAACATTTGTACTAGGAATTTTGAAGTGTGTGGCTAGCAAAGGTTGACTTTCAGAGTTGTCCAGTATAATTGGCACCCTTATTTTAGCATCCACATTTTGATTTGCTAATGCCAAATTGAACAAGCTGCTTAAGGGTGGAAAAAGTTCCTTATTTTCCAGTAGAAGGTGCCTATTGCCTCTCTGATCTTACACCCGTTTTGATTTTTTGTGGACTGATATATTGATCCTAAGAAATCTTCAGACATTATCTGAGAAATACATATGCATAGCATGCAGGAATATTTAATTTCTGAGATACCAAACACTGAATTATTAAATTAAAGCTGTTCAGTGTAAGACTGAGTTTTGGTCCTGCTTTAGGCGCAAAGCTATTGGGTAACCTTGGGCCAGTCATTTCCTCTCAGCCCTAGAAAGAAGACAGTGGCAAACCACTTCTGAAAAACCTTGCCAAGAAAACTGCAGGGACTTGACCCGGAAGTCTCTGAAAATTAGACATGGTTAAATGAATGAAAAAACACATATTTTTGAGAGGGAAATAAATATGATAAATAAATAAATAAATATGATAGATAAATAAATATGAATGCATATGATATGGATGGCATGAACAGGGCATTAATTGAATATCATTGTTTGCACTTTTTGTAAATAGTAGTACAAAAGCGCCCACAATTTCAGTTTTTGGGATCCTGTGATTTGACTTAAGCATCTTGAATATGAACAATTATCTGTCCAGATATTCTTAAAGCTTATGATATCCAGACATTCTGGGCAGATAACTATCTGTTAACCCGAGGAAGCTGCTGTCTTCTTGCTGTTTATGTTTTAACCTTCTGGAGTCAGTTTTTTTTTTTTTTTAAGCAAATTTTATTAATTTTAAAGACAAACAAACAAATCATCATTAACCATTACATACTTAAACCTTTTTCCATTGTAAATTTTACAAGTCAAATAAAACCTTATTTTATACAATATAATTCTATTTTAAACCATTTCCATATGAGCATACAAATACCTCTTATCCAATTTCTCTTTACTTCTCTTTACTCTTATTCAATTTCACTATTATTATTTCATCTATTTCTTTCTGACTTGTTTACCATTATTCTCATTCTATATTTCTACAAGGTTTTATTAATTCTCTTCTGGAGTCAGTTTTGATTAGCAGTCCAATAAACATGTCACCAAGGCCTAAAATTAGTCTTCTCTATTTAAATCTAGGTTGATCCAGGTATGCTAGTACTCACATGTTAACTTGGTCACCATGTTTGTTTTCCAAAAAAAATTAATATCCTGCTAAACTAAAAGTTTTATTGATTAGTTTGGAACAAAATTTGTTACACAAATTTGCAAAGAACTCCAAGGAAGAGGTCAACACCAGTACATCTCCTACTTCCTAGTAGATCATAAGATCACTACAACCCATAATGCAGTCATATGTTGCCTTGCTGTGATAAGGATAAGGCAGAAAATACTGTTTAATAAAACTTAAAGTCTACAACTTGCAAAGCCATTGTTTCCTAAAGTGGGATAAAAACATAATTACAGTATTTAACGATCCGTCGAAAACAACTTTGATATAGCTGTGGTGGATGGTATGAATGAAAAATTGTGCCTTTATAACTCTTTCTTATTACAGTTGCTATCTAGTTACATCAATGCATCATTGCTAACCTTCTTCTCCATAGGAAAAATGAGGTCAGGACATAGTCATTTTCTTGACTGAAACAATACACTACACATCCAGAAAGCTAGTAAGATTAAATTCTTTAATCTCTGAAGGGATAGCTGTG